ATCGCATCGCGAAAGATCACCACCCGGGGCACCGTCACATCCTCAGCCATCGATCCCCAAATGGGGATACATCCAGCGGTGCTCAGAGGGCCATAGCGGAAAGCCGAGACCCGTTCCAGGTCCAGGTGCTGGAAGCCCAGGGTCTCCACCAGGACCTTCGGAGAGGCGTTGCTCAGAGCCTCGTCATCCCTGGGACCTCTTATCTGGCTGACTGGCCTTCAGACCAGCAGGGTGCTTCAGCGAGTTCATGATGCTGCTGAGGCCGTTCATGAAGCGCATCGCCATGACCGACCTCGGTCATCCAAGCATGGAATCAGAGTAGCGGCTGTATGATCGTGAGACGCTTCGTCGCACGCCGACTACACCCGCTTCTGCCCCCATCAAGCGAGTTTAGTCCGTAACGAGTCGCCGTGCTTGTGCACTCTCGAGCATTTTGCTCGGTGCCAACAGTGACATCGCCAGGGATTTGGAGATGACTTGCAGTTTACTTGTGACATCCCCCGTAGTCGGCCCAGCAATCCCACTGCTCGAAGCAAGCTCTTCACTCTGGGTTTTCCCCGGTTGGCGATTGCCGCTTCGCAAAACCATGGAAAAAAAGACTGGGCTCCTTTTCCGACTGGAAGAACCAGACCGGTGGTCCCTCCCTCTTCCACCAAGGCCAGAGGAATGCGGGGCCCCTCTTAGCCGGGTCTCAAGTCAAGAAGCCTCGGAGTCTTGAAGAGGCTCTGCAAGCTGGGCGCAGCGTCGAAGAGGGCAGCGTAGATCGCTTCACCTGCCGACTCAGGGGGCTTGGAGCTTAATGTCCCCTGTCTACATGCATTTACATCATGTCTGATTTCCCCGGACTGCTCAAGTCACGAAGGGACGAGCAGATTCTGTTTTGGTCTAATTACTCGTTCACTTCCTCCCCCACTCCATGACTCAGCTACTAATCATGCCATGCAGATACCTAAGCAAGCACGAAACCGCATTACTGCCATTACCCCCACGACCACGACTTCCACGATCACGGAACCCGATGGGTGCATACGCATGCATACGCGTGCTCCTGCTTCGCCTGCCCCGGCCCGGCGCCTGCAGCATCTCTGGAGCGCGAGGCTTGGATGAAGGCTTCCCAGCTGCTTCGGGCCTTCACATGGCACTGGAAGCCGAACACGAGAAGCGGCCCCAAGGCCCCTTTCGGCTTCTGCGCCTCGTCCACAATGTCCTCCGGGAGCTTCACCTCCTTTAAAGACACAAAGGTGTGCTGTGATCCAAAGAGAGGAAGACACAAAAAAAGTAGGTTATCTCGGTGCATGTCTGTGCCTCCAAGCACTACCCGTTGGCTTGAAACTCAGCCGGGACCTCGCCTCAAAGACCTGTTCCTGCACGTCGTTGAGGACCCCAAGGTCGACAACCTCCTCCTCCTCCTCGTCTCCCTCTTTCGGAATATCTCCGTCCTCCATCTCGTCTCCATCCTCCTGAATTTGAAGAAGTGCCGAATTGACAATCCAGCTTCAGTCATAATGGACGCAAAAGATAGTGGTATGAGTACTGGTTGAACAAGTAGTAATGAATAGTGGCGGTAGCAGCAGCAGCAGCAGCAGCAGCAGCAGCAGCAGTGGTGGTAGTGGTAGCGGTGGCGGCAGCGGCAGCTCAGTGGCACCACGCCGTCATCGAAGCATGCTTGCAATGGTTTGACAACGGTGGAAAAACAAAAAGCTGCAATCCATACTTATGTAGCAGCGGAAGGAAGACACAACACTATCCCGCCTCCGCGAAATCTGCATCCGCAAGAATCTCAGTCTCTTCTACATCATCTCCATTGCTCATGGCCTGCAACATGCGCATGTTTTTTTGCAGCAGAAAACCGTCCCACCAAGCAGTCTCTACCGACACTTCGCACAGATCGGGTAGATTGCCTGGGCACGGCGGAAAGCCCCGGTAAGGGCTCGTCGCCGAGCTTGGGCCAAATGAAGCTGGAAGAACGAGCTTAGAGCATGTCCTTCGAAAGCTATAGACGTCCCCGAACACGAACCAACGATTGCAAGTTGCAGCACATCAACAGAAAGCCACAAACCAATCTGCACATGCTTTCTGTCGGGAGAAGCAGCAAATTCCCCTTCCGTGTCGTGGGCCCGCGGAAAGTTAAAGTTAACAAGCCAGCAGAGGCCTTCTTCTCCGTGTCGGAGCCTCACTCAACTTGGACAGCAACTCAGATACACCGCCGCATGGTAGATGTGTTTCCTAGTACTCACAAACCGTGTAGAAAGCTTCGATGAACTCACGGTCAAGCCGTTTTCGACAACTTCTCTGCTTCTTTCCATTGGAAGCTCGGACCCTGCGAGCACCTCGCTGAGCCTTGGCACACTCGGAGCACTGGTAGACGGGCTTTGCGTCCTCCTCCACGGCCTGCTGCGCTGCTCAAGGGGCCCCTGCCACGCCCTGCCACGCCCTGGACCCACACGAGCTTCGATCCGTCTGCAAGCAGGCTTCATTAGGGTTTAGGGTTTAGGGTTTAGGGGCTTACACCTCTGCGTTTTGGACTCGCTTTGGCTGGGTCTGCCTCCGAGCTCGTGAACCTGAAGAGGCAATCCTGAAGCTGGCAGCTGCCATTCACCTGTCAGAGCGCATCAGAACGCACACATAAACATATAGAGACAGCTCAACAGCAGTGAACTGCTCGGCAGTCTCGGGGCTTTCGATCTGACTCAACCACCAGATTCAACGACACTACTTCTTTCAAGACCAATGAACCTCTGAATTGGAGCAGTCATGGCTGAGCTAACCTAGCGATGCTTCTGCAGACATTCAACGTTCGGAGTACCATGCTGGTTCTGCATAGCAGGTAAGTCATTGAATCCGGCATGGAAGGCAGCTTACACGTGGGCGCTTGCATGGCAAAACTGATCTAAAACTACTGTATAACCTCCCAACATTCCCGAAGACATTGATGCCACACGTTGCCTTCCCCATCTCTGGAATCTGTCGTTGCTTCATCAATCACCAGCAGCAGCAATAACAGTAGTAGTAGTAGTAGTAGTAGTAGTCGTCGTCGTCGTCGTAGTCGTAGTCGTACAACGACGACGACTCCCACCGCCAACCATTTCGATCGGTATTGCAACGATGGATAAGACTGCTACTTCGGATGCTATGACGACCACGACGACGTGCCTACTACGTGCAGTGTCGACAGCAAAGCAACGGGGAGTAACCTTGATCGCCACCGGATCGCTGAACACAGCCTGCAGGTCCTGACAGGCCATGGTTTCTGTCTGCCAGACATAGTCTTATTTTAGGGTTTAGGGTTGAGGGTTTAGGGCTTAGGGTGTAGTCGCAAAGCGCGCCACCAGAACCTCTGGCAACCCTTGGTGCTCCAGTCGCCAGGAGCTACAGTTTCGCCGGTGCGATATAGAAAATTAGGGTACCTTATTTTGGGGTCCTTATAATAAGGATCCTAGGTACTATATTGAGTCCCCTATTTTCGGAAACCCCCAGAAAGAGGCGAGACACGCACTACGAACTCGGGCCAATTCTTGTACCGGATCGGTTCCCCCGTGTCCAGGCTGTCGCGACATGTACCCTCAATCAGAATGTAACAAACGAAAAGTCTACATGTAGCTAGAATGTCGTTCCATAATTCAAGATTTGTTCGAAATAATTGCAGTGGCACAGCATCATGTAAAGTCCGACGTGGATGCTTTCGAACGGAGTTCACGTGCGGCAGGAAGAAAAAAGTCACCGGTTATGCAGCGATACTATGTTGTCTTACCTCGTTTTGCCATTGGTCTGCATTATATTACGCTAGGCAATTTTTGAATGTGAGACATAAAGTACCATAGCATGTGATATGCTACTGTACCATGCTACGCTAGAAAAAAAAAAATATATATATATATATACATATATATATATATATTAGTATTGGTGTCCTCTGCAAGAGAAGCGTGGCATTCGTGTGCGGCCTGGCACTCGGAACCGGCTTGGACTTGGACTGCGATCACTTCAAGCCGTCTCTGGCCCTCTGCTCCGAGCTCCGAAATCTGCAGAGGACTGCTCCGCTCCGTGGAGAATTGCCCGTCATCAAGTGTCTGCCTGCAGGTAGCTGCGAGCGCTGCTTTCCGCGGCCTGGCTGTCAACTTTAGGAAGTGAAAGCAAGCAAGCGCAAGCACCTTCGAGCCAACATGCTGTCAACCCTCTGCGAGGACTTCTGATCTTAAGCGAACTCCAAGCATAATCGAGATCCCGATCCTCTTGGTCGTCCGCATCGCTCTCAGTAGCAGCTGTCCCGGAAATCTGTCAGGCCGGATGCCGTGTTTGCACAGATTGATCATGTCCCTTTGTGTCACCTTTGAACCGTGCCTTACCAGGACAGGCTGATGCACTGGAGCTCTCTCGCCGGAGAGTCAGCTTCACCACCTCTCCCGGCATGAACATGTCTGAACAAACCTGAAGGAGCCGATGCTGCCCACATCGGCCCGCCTCCTCCCGCAGGAGCTGCTGCATGGTGACGAAGACTGCCTCTCCTGCTACAGCGACACGAAAAGAGGTCGGAGTCTGTGAAGGAAGAGACAGCTTTCCGGGTGGAAGTTCAGGGTATCTCCTCCAACAGCGATGACCTCATCGCCTTCACGTACTGCCAGCTCCTGTCTCCAGGTCAACCCTCCCTAGGACCCTCTGAGAGTTTTAATCTTGGCCTCCTCCCCCATGGACTTCTTCTTCAAGTTCCAACGGTCCAACACCTTGCAAGACCAGTGTGACAGTGGCCAGGAAGGCACTGAATGCTCCGAGCCAAGGCAAGAGTCATGGGCCGAGCCAGTGAAGTAGCGAGCTCCGCTGTTGGGATGCAGACCGTCTCGGGATTGACACTTGCAACGCGCAGCCTCGCCAGGAAACCACGTTCTGCACCGGAAGGAAACATAGCTACAAGCTTCTGCAGAGCTGTTTGGGCTGCCACCTTTTCTGCTGCAGCGACTCGTTGCACCAGCCGAAACCCCAGCGAGGATCCTGCCAGATCGAGCGCCCACGACATCGTAGGCATGCAAGGATTGTTGTATATTGTTGGTGCTCCTTCTTACCACGCTTTCGCAATTCCACCTCGAAGACGAATGACCTGAACACATGCTCTGAACATCACTCTGCAGCCATGTCAAAACGCAACGGCGGATTTGGAAAACATCACACCGTCCCTGATATGACACAAACTGCCGAGACACCCCTCTGCGTTACCGTCCACCATGAATGAGTTGTTCCATGCGGTTGGAGCAGTGCTTGCAGTTTCGGCCATCGAGGAGCACACTCGGGTTCCGCTTTCGATGTCTCCTGAGCCCACACACGTCTACACTCGCGAGGTAGAAGCAAAATCGGGTGCTTGGAGGGGGGGGGTTGGAGATGGGGCATCTCAGACCGTCCAGGGCGTAACCACGGCTCCGCTTGCCCGGTATTGCACAGAAAACAGAAGTCCATTGCTTAGACAGCTCTGGTAGTTTGACAGCGGTGCAGCCCTCCTCCTCCTCCTCCTTCTCGTCCACACCAGGTTCCGCATCCTGACCAAACGAAACTCAGCTACAGTACATGCACGACATGCCATAGCACAAAAACACACATTATCAACCAACAGCATGCGATAGCAGATCCTGCAGCCACAAGAGGGGGTGATAGGGAAGCCACATCTCAAAGCAGTCATGGATGAATCACTCCAGCTTTCGTAAATGCAAAATAGGTTGGCGAGCTGAAGTTGAATTGTGCCTTGCCACAGCAAGTAGTCGTGATGAGGTTGCTGCAATTGTTACAGCTTGGAGCAGCGTGACCCGCGCCTGCTCTGACTCTTTGTCAAGGGAGCGCTCCATCCCGGGACTTCTTGAAACCTGACATACATTCGGGGTCCACTATGCTCGAACTGCTTGACCCGCTGCGTGTTTTGATGGAGCACTGCCTGTGACGCAGGTTGCCGGAGTGGCTGGAACCAAGTCGCCACCGAAGGTCTCATGTAGAATGGGGTGCCTGCAGAGGCATGGCCCAAGACTCTCAACCCATCAAGCCTGATGTCTTGGGACGTACGTGGTCAGCACCGCCTACCATGGGAAACACATGCAGAGATCACACACTCAAGGTCGCCTTGTACATTCTCTCTCTCAGCTTTGTATGTTCGACAAACGTATTACAAAATCAGGAGATGGGATTGCTTGTTGCTTGTCACCCACACTGGTCTTTTGTTGCTCCGCGGAGTCTAAACAGATGTGAACAAGTTGTCTTGACATTAAACCGTTCTACTACCAACCTCTTGTTTGCTCACCCACGGGCCTTTCTTGCCAAACTATACGACTTGTGTTCGTATTACGGGCTTGCTACCTGCGCGCATGCGAGACAGAGTCTTCTTTCTGGTTAAGTCACGTACTGTTCGTGCTAGCGAGAGCAGCCAGAGAAGGTAAGTGAGAAAGGAAGGGAGCACAAGAGAGGAAGAGAGGAAGAGAGCACGAGAGAGAGAGAGAGAG